AAAATGCAAATACCTTTTGTTTGCCACTGAATTTACAAATTTCCTCACGACCAAAAGACATAATGACCAGATATAACCATTTAGCTCATCTATCATAATGATTCACCCAACAAATATTCATTTCATAAGGATCAACATTGTGATTTTCTGAAGGGAGAATGAAGCACCTAATAACTTTTACTACTTGAATTTCATTGTACCCGGACTTAAACAAATTTTAAGTTGGTCTAAAGTTGACATCCACACTTAAATGTTTGCACACAAATTCAAAAAATGGCACTACCTGTTAAAGCAGGCCTCATCAGTCAGGGAATTGATTGTTCATCGAGGTTTAAGACTCGTAAGAGAAATCTCCAGGCTCTACTGCCAAATATATCTACCAGTAGGAAGGGTTCATAGCCAAACCAAAACATGGGGTCAGTGTGTACTCAAGGAAGTATCTGTTTGTCCATCGGAGCAGTCGCAACAGCACAACAAGGCCCAGGCGTTTTCGGGGAGGGTGGGGGCAGGGCGTGTGAACGGTGCTCAATCACAGCTCAGTATGGAGAGCACAAAGGCCCAGTGAGAGTGAAAGTGAGCCGTCGCTATAGAACACAGAGCTGCTTTTCATGTCTCTGGAGGCTGGGCTGCACAGACCTCTATCCACAGGTAACACCTACTCTCTGGTTACCTGTTCCCATGGAGCTGTGGTGCTGACGCGATGAAGCACAGAATAGCAGAGGGCCACATTTATCAGGCTAAACAAAGAGCACAAACCATGACAGACACTGAATGGATGGAGTCTCTTCAGAGCACTCAGCATGTGGACTTGGTTGACCTGAAATGTAAGCAGGTAATGATGTTATGGTTAGGGTTACTGTCCAAATAGGTTTCGATAGGGTCTACATTAAAGTCTCAGTTTTAGGGCACTGAAGAATGCTCTTTATTTTTTTGTTCTGTTTCTTTCCTGAGTGATCAAGAAAAAGAATTATCTTTAAACCTTGAAAGAAAAAAAAAACATGATTAGCCTGAACAACGATACCCCCACCACCCCAAAAAACACTTTCTCATCGGATCTACATGAATCTCATAGATGACCTATTTTGATCTCGAAAAGGTGAGTTTTCACCGAAAGGTGAGGAGTTTGCATGTTGAATAGTATCCATATACAGCTGAGGATGCAATCCGCTGGTCAAACTGAGCATCAGTACTCAGTAGTAAACTTTTCATCCAGCTACGATGGTTAAATAGTTGTAAAAGAACTAGTTTTTATTTAAATGTATCACAGTCTCCACAAAAAAAAATAAAAAAATAAAAAATACAGCATACTTAGACATAAATTGCATTTTTAAATATTAAAATAACAATACACAATACTGTATTTTAATCAAATAAAATGCAGCATTGGTGAGCATGAGAGACTTCTTTAAAAAAAAAAAAAAACGTACCGACCCCAGACTTTTGAATGGTAGTGTATTATTAAAATTCAACAAATTCTAAAAAAAAGTGAGGTCAACATCCCCTCTTAAGAAACACGTCTAATTGAGGACAAATGATTCTGAAATGCACAGACTTTCAGTTTAGACCGATTAGTTCAAAGAACTAGTCATTCAAACAACTAACCTTCTAATTGATTTTGTATGCTGTTTAGCACATCCTTACCCAGTACTTAGCATAGCACAGAAAAATATCTTCCATTACAATATACAAACACGCAATTTGGCCTGTATACTTCAAACACACCATGTTGTTTTAGAAAGATCAGCAATAGCAGTCAAGCGGCTACCATTTGAGTCAAAGAAACAGACCTAATATTCAGTACATAATGACCTATTCTTGACAGATCACTGACTCAATTCAGCTCGCAAAGGGGCCAATGAAATTATCACTGACTGCCCAGCCGCCACGATGACTAAGGGCTGATTGTCTGAAGGAATTTCTGCCACACTGGCTGCACTAAAAGATGAGCACTAAAAAAATTTTTTTTTAAAAACAGATGAGCAATGCATTGTTATCTGTTATGCTTACAATGTCCTTGGAATTCAAGATACACAAGTTAAATAATTCTGAGTTGCGTCTAACAGTGGGCGCATTGTGACGTGCTTATTGCGGCACGCGGCTCTGAGCTCTCGGCCAAGAGACCCTTTGTTTCCCAGAGTACAAATTCCATTAATAAATAGCACAACATATGACACTTTCGGTTCTCGGTCATTAAACAACTGCAATTCACAGGGCAACAGACACAAAAGAGAAACTAAAATGACCAAAAAACACCAATGTTTCCATTAGAAAACATTATAAATTCATAAACGCATGAGCCAAATGCTTTCAAAACACTTCAAATAAACACTAAAAGCCTAAAAGTAATTAAGTTCGAACATGCATCAACAACAGTCCCTGTGCATTCCATGCTTCACCGTGAGGAACAATGAGTCCAATACCTCCTCCTGAGAGAAAGTCTGCTCAGCTTATTTTATCCATCCTCTATACTGAATATATTCTCTTCCCACTGTTCCCAGAATTAATGGGCCCTCTAAAGCCTACATCGAAGCAGAGAGCTCCTAATGGACATCTAGCTATCTGCAAAACCAACACATCAAAAGTGATCTAGTTCCTATGGGAAGAATCCTGAGAGATAATCCATCAAGCCATCTGTAAGTTAAGACATTCTGCTACAGGATTCACTTTGCTGAAACAGGCCAAACATATGACCGGGGGCCACGGGAGTCGAACAAAGCAGCTGTTTATACAAAACCTTCTCCTATCTGAAATGTTGTGAACTGCTAAAGGGATTTACAAGAAGCTATGAAATGAATAATCATCTTCATTTTTCCCTAACATGAGAAATTTTGAGCAAGTCTAATCAGACAAATGTATCATAAAGTTTGTACCAAACAAACAACCATCTGTCAATAGAAGCCAAATTACAGAAATAAATCACAGTTAAGGAGAAAGTTAGCTTTTCTGATATACTCTGGTAACTTTCCAAAGATTTCTTACTGAAGCTTTATTATTACATCAATTAAACACAAGAAAATCCCTTCACACCTTTTAAAAAGTAAAAGTAACTGCTTTGTGAGCACAGCTTGAATTAATGCATTAATTAACCTCTAACCATTCTTCAGAAACTGAAAATATGGCAGCCTTCGAAGAAGTTTTATAATTAAACTGTAAAAATATCCACTAAACAAATGCAATATTACTTTAGAGATCCCTATGCGTCTCGTGATCGTTTGGGGTGTGTAATTCAGTGTGAAGGTGGGGTTTTCACTCAACTGATAACAGCAAGGAAGTGAGCAGGTGTGTTTAAACGAAGCTAGTCAAACTCAAAAGAGACCTCGTCAAATGCATCAAGGATAATAAAGGTGTCCAAGGCTAATAAACACTGAGTGAGACAATTTGTGGAGGTGGACATTTAAATTTGTGAATACATAGACTCTGTAAAAGAGAGAAAATGGAGGACTTTGCTCGTCTGTGAATTTTAGACAAATCACAAGTGCTACTCTAAATAGTGACACATTTTTTGGCTGTCAAGCTATCTCAATTTTCCAGTGATGAAAAACTAGCAAAATCCACAGATCCAAAGAGTACTTTAGTATGGTAATCACAATCCTATTCCTAACAAGGCATAAATTGTTAGGGACTGCACAAAATGATTGCAATTTTGACTCCAAACTTATAAAACACGCCAGGCTGAAGACATTTTTGCTAAAGCAAGGAAACCTATACCAATGGTTCTTAAGTGGTGGCGTGCAAACCAAAAACGGATTGGAGGTCTGTTCTGATAGAGTTGTGGATGAATATGCTTATTCATTAAAAAAAAAAATTTAAAAGAGAGAGAGAAGAAAATGTCTCATGATTTGTTGTTGACATCAATGGATATGGATAATACAAATGCAATATTTGTACCAGTGTCTGGTAAACCACACTTTTGTTGTGGTTTATGAATTTGCATAATTTTACTATTCAGCTAATGTCATGTTAATAATTTTTCCTATTGCTCTGCCTATGAAGGTCAAGGTAATACTAATGCATTCAATGTTTGATTTCAAGGACATCAACTGATGTTGGTTCATTACTTGATGTAAAATGTAAAATATTTGAAAACCACAGATCAAACTATTAAAAAAGCTACAGGAGTCAAGATGGTCACATGCACATACAAAGTTATAAATTAAGTCTCAACCCATGAATTGCACCACAGACCATAAAACAATTTGTTAATTATCTTATATGTTAATGGCCTCAGGCCATGCATTCCCAGCTGCCTCACAGTCACATGGCAACAACATAATGACTGACAATTATTAGCACCCCTATTAACGAATGATGATATCCAAGATTTGATTTGTATGTGGGTCAAATACAAACAAGGATGTGATGTCCAAAAAAAGGAGCAATATTTTAAAAATCCTGTTTTTAAATGTGACAAGACCTTATAAATCATGTTTCATTTTTTGTTCTATTTTCTACAAATAATGACTCCAAAAATGTCAAGTGGTGTAACCATCTAGTAGCCTACTAACATTTTTTACTTGCACCTTAAACACTCAACGCATATAACAGTTGACAATTTTTACTTTCTGACCTCTCAAAAAATAAAACATCAAAATGACTTTTAAATGTAAAAAAATATATATTTTGTAGTGTATTTTTGTATATCATAGGCTATAGGATAATTAGACAACAAAAAGACGTCATTGACCCATGTAAACATACAAACAATGTAAATGTTTGTTAACTGCTAAATGTCTTCAATAACATCCACATACTAAGATTTAACATCAGAGTAATTCACACTTGTACCTTTAAGAATAATGAACAAGGTAACTGCACGGCAGGATATTTCTGGAAAGGCAGCGTTTCACAAGCAAATGTTTGGCACATCTAGCCGTGTATGTGTGTGTGATGATTTATTTATTTATGTGAAATTATTGTATTAATATCTTCGCATAGCAGAGAATATAAACATTTACATATTATGATTTTCATTATAAATAAAACTAGGTCTTGAATCTTACCTTTGGCTGCCTCCACCGCGCATAATAGTCCTAAAAGCAGACCGACTGCAGAAGCGAAAGGCTTCACCCCGCGGATCCGCATCCCGTCTTCGTAATAAAAACAGCGAAAGATTTAAACACTCTTATTCTGTCTCCTCTCGCCCGGTAAAATCTGATTTAGCTCAGTGTTGCAAAAAATATCCAGAAGATGTATATCTCGGATTAGTGCGGTAGTTTTAAGATGGCTGCCGCCACCGCCGTTCAGCTCTCTTCTCTCTCAATCACCGTTCAGTGTCTCTGCTGCGCGTGCACCTGCAGCGATGTCCTTCAGTCATATTTAACTGCGCGTGAGCCATTTCAAAGATGAATGTTTAAAACCAGACACATAGTATTCCACAGAGGATCTGCAATGCGGACCGCACACTTCATTTTATCAATACAATACAAACAACTTAGTTATCGTATAAAACGTCCCACGGTGCGTTTGAGAATGGAGTAGAAATCAAGTGCACAGGTTTGTAACGTTACTGATGTACAACTAGCTGCAGGTTGAAGTCTTGGCCGCGGGGTGTTGGCACAGAAGACTCTTGTGTTAAAGGACTGACACTCAAAAATAGCTGTCAAGTGAAGCGGAACCGTAAAGGAGAGTGGACATTTCACAGCTGACAGGCCACGGCAATTGTTTCATGACATCTTTTCAGTATGAGACGGGAAATTAAAGCAGATTGATTTGTAATAAGCTGCGATGTGGACGCAAGGACGCAAGAGCCACACACTTTATTTCACAGCCATTATTTCAGATCATTGTCTAGAAACCTTCACCGAGGATACT